TTGGAAAAGAGAGGGGGTAATACAGGTAGCAGAAATGGAGGGTATGTTTGCACCTCTACCATAACTGAGCCGGTTTAGGCTAAACCTGACTCCCCCTTACTCCATCCAACGAGGGGAGAAGAAGACAGAGGTAAAACAAGGAAGATAGCTCAGGATAACCTAAGCCACTCTAACTATAAGCTTTATCAAAAAGGAAATTTTTAAGACTAGCCTTAAAAGTAGACAGGGTGTCTGCCTCACGGACCAAAACCGGGAGCTGGTTCCACAGGAGAGGAGCCTGATAACTAAAGGATCTGCCTCCCATTCTACTTCTAGAGACTCTAGGAACCACCAGTAAACCTGCAGTCTGAGAACGAAGTGCCCTGTTAGGAACATATGGAACAATCAGATCTCTGATGTATGATGGAGCTAGATCATTAAAGGCTTTATATATTAGGAGGAGAATTTTAAATTCTATTCTGGATTTAACAGGGAGCCAATGAAGGGATGCTAAAATAGGAGAAATATGATCTCTCTTTTTAATTTTCATCAGAACTCTTGCTGCAGCATTTTGAATCAACTGAAGGCTTTTAACTGGATTTTGTGGACATCCTGATGGTAAAGAATTACAATAGTCCAGCGTTGAAGTAACAAATGCATGGACTAGTTTTTAAGCGTCACTCCTGGATAGGATATTTCTAATTTTGGCAATGTTCCGGAGGTGAAAGAAGGAAATCCTAGAAACCTATTTAATATGGGATTTAAATGACATGTCCTGGTCAAAAGTAACACCAAGGTTTTTTACTTTATTACCGGAGGTAAATTTAATGCCATCCAGGTTAGGTGATTGACTAAGCAGTTTGTTTTTTAAAGACTCTGGTCCAAAGACGACAACTTCTGTCTTGTCTGAATTTAGAAGCAAAACATTTAAAGTCATCCAAGTTTTTATATCTTCCAGACATGCTTGTAGTCTATCTAACTGGTTGGGTTCATCAGGATTTATGGATAAGTAAAGCTGAGTATCATCAGCATAACAGTGAAAATTTATCCTGTGCTGCCTGATAATTTGACCTATTGGAAGCACATATATAGTAAAGAGAATTGGCCCAAGTACTGAACTCTGTGGTACTCCACAATTAACCCTGGAGTTTAAAGATGATTTATCATTTACATGAACAAACTGGAATCTGTCAGACAAATAAGATTTAAACCAGCCTAGCGCTGTTCCCCTGATCCCTACAGCATATTCCAGCCTTTTTAAGAGAATATTATGGTCGACTGTATCAAATGCAGCACTGAGATCTAAGAGGACAAGTACAGACACAAGTCCATTATCTGAGGCATAAAGAATATCATTAGTGACTTTCAGCAGAGCTGTTTCAGTGCTATGATGAGCTCTGAAGCCTGACTGAACCTCTTCAAACAGGTCATTGCTGTGTAAATGCTCACACATTTGATTAGCAACTATTTTCTCAAGAATTTTAGATAAGAATGAAAGACTGGATATAGGTCTGTAATTTTTCAAGTCATCTCGATCGAGGGAATGTTTCTTAGGTAAAGGTTTAATTACAGCTACCTTAAAAGCCTTTGGTACACATCCATTTACTAAAGATAGATTAATCATATCTAAAATGGGGCTGGTAATCAGAGGGAACACTTCCTTAAATAATTTGGTTGGGATTGGGTCTAACATACAAGTTGAAGGTTTAGATGAAGCTAATATTTCTCATAACTCAGGAAGCTCCACAGGATCAAAACAGTCCAAACACAGATCAGGTTCTACAGTTGTTTCCAATGATGTCTCACTTGCTGAGGATGAAGTAATCATCTTCGGGAGTATGTCAAAGATTTTTTTTTTAATAGAATCAATTTTATTTAAGAAGAATCCCATAAAGTCATGACTGCTACGAGCTAAGGGAATGGATGGCTCAACAGAGCTATGACTCTGTGTAAGTTTAGCAACTGTACTAAAGAGAAACCTAGGATTATTCTTGTTCTCTTCAATTAAGCATGAGAAAGCTGTTCTAGCTTGGTGGAGTGTCTTTTTATACAACAGTAGGCTATTTTTCCAGATTAAGTAGGAATCCTCTAGGTGTGTAGAGCGCCATTTTTGCTCCAATTTTCTAACATTGTGCTTTAAAGTACGCAGCTCTGAATTAAACCAGGGAGCCTGCCTTCTATGAATAATTACCTTCTTTTTCAAAGGGGCTGCATTGTCTAATGCACCACGCAATGATGAAGTAACACTATGAACAAGAGAATCAATTTGTGAAGGGGCAGAAACAGAATTATTGCCCTCCACTGTGCTTTTCAGTGATAATGAGGAGATTAAAAGTGGAACAGATTCTTTAAAGGTTGTTAAAGCATCGTCTGAAATTTTCTTTCAGGTGTGGAGTACTCGGTTAAATTAAACTCAAAGGTTATTAAGAAATGGTCAGACAGGACAGGGTTATGAGAAAATATTGTAATGTCTTTACACTCAATGCCATATGTCAGCACAAGGTCCAGAGAATGAAGACAAACGTGGGTAGGTTTGTTGATGTTTTGAGCAAAGCCAATTGAGTCTAAGATACCATTAAAGGCTATATTTAGGCTATCAGTTTCAGTGTCAACATGAATGTTAAAATCCCCCACTATAGTAACTTTATCTGTATTTAACACTAAATCAGATAAAAGGTCTGAAAACTGATCTAAAAATTGAGAATAAGGGCCTGGTGGACGGTACAAAACAACAAATAGAAGTGGTTTTAGTGCTTTGCAATTTGGATGAGGAAAACTAAGGTTTAAATATTCAAAAGAGTTGTAGCTATTGATTGGTCTGGGACTGATCAATAAATCGGACTGAAAGATGGTTGCTACTCCTCCTCCTCGCCCAGTATTTCGAGGAATGTGAAAATTGAAATAATTAGTAGGAGTTGACTCATTTATAGTAACATAATCCTCTTGCTGCAGCCAGGTTTTGTTAGGCAAAATAAATCAATCTGATTGTCAGAAATCAGGTCACTAGCTAGCAATGTCTTTGAAGAGAGAGATCTTATGTTCAGTAGGCCACATTTAATTGTTTTATTTTTCTTTTTATTCTGAGTTGTGTTTATTTTTATGAGATTTTTCTGATTTCCTCCTTTTAGATTATTTTTTAATCTATTCAATTTTGGCCGTGGGTGAGACACAGCCTTAATAGGGTAATGGGTGGGTAGCAGTACAGAAGCTGCAGAGAGGAGTGCTAAACTATGACCCTGCTTCCTGGTCTGAACCCTGGGTTGTCAGAGTTTTGGAGAACTAATAAATTCGGCCAGATTCCTAGAAAGAAGAGCTGCTCGATCCAAAATGGGATGGATGCCGTCTCTCTCTGGATCAGACCAGGTTTTCCCCAAAATGTTTGCCAGTTATCAATGTAACCCACATTGTTTTCTGGACACCACCTAGACAGCCAGCGGTTGAATGACAGGATGCGGCTAAACATTTCGTCACTGGTTAAATCGGGGAGGGGACCAGAGAAAATTACGGAGTCAGACATTGTTTTGGCAAACTTACACAGCGAAGCAACACTAACTTTGGTGACCTCCGATTGACATAACCGGGTGTCATTACCGCCAGCGTGAATAACAATCTTACTGTATTTACGCTTATCCTTAGCCAGCAGTTTCAGGTAGGATTTGATGTCGCCCGTTCTGGCCCCTGGCAGACATTTGACTATGGTCGCTGGTGTCTCTAGTGCCACTATTAGAATTCATTCGTCCTTCTAATGAAGCTGAGTTAATAACCAAAAGTTAGGAGAAAACTACCGTACCAAGAGGTAATATTTCATTGGATGTGGTATTCATAGAATTACTTTTTAAACTTTCACACAGGAAACTCAAACACTAAGTACCAGTTTGGATGAGAAACAGCTTGCATAGATTTAACTTCTGTAAGCCAGATTTGAAGTGGGAAGGTTAGGCAGTGTATCAAGCTAAACTCTGTCATAACCATCTAAAACACTGGTTGCTGGTCTGGTTTCAATGCATGAATTCAACACATTGGATTTTATGCAACCAGCAGTAAAAACGAACATATGTATTTTTAGCTAAAGAAATCCAGTATGACTACGAAGGTAATATTTGTACCTTCTGGTGTTTTTAAAAAGCCTTGTAAAAATTGAAAAGAACATGAAGTGTCTAGGAATCTGCAACAGTGATGACAGCACATACTTTACCAAACAGCACATCATACAAAGTGTCGAGGTATTCCAATATGGGAAACTGTGAAGTGGTTAAACCAGATAGAGGGGGATCAATGCGTGTGCTTTATGTACCTCTTGCTGCACAGTTATTCTCAAATTTTCTCTTGTTTTCACTTCAGTGCTCCCAACTGACAAACCCTCTGCTCTCGCAGCTTTCTATTGTCAGACACAGCCGAAGCCATGTCTCGCCAATTAGGGGAATAGCAACTTTGGAAAGCCTTCCCACTATGTCTCTCTGCTTTTCAGTCTTGATTTGGAAATGGCAGTGCTCAAGTGTCATGTTGGGCACAGTCTGCCAAGGAAAGGCACATGCTACAGGAAGCATAATGATCAATAATTTGCACATTCCTCACCAGTGATTCGACTAAAATAGCCTGTTTGCACAGCTGTTGTTGCTTTAGGCTTTTTTTCTGAAGTTGTTTGATAAGTATGTTCTGGTAAAGGGGCAAAGATATCCTCTGCATGTTGTATCATTAGGGTGTTATGTGTAGGGTTAACTTATAATTGCTTTTGTATTGTAGGTTACTAATTGAAAATGATGTAGATTTATTCCAAAAATACTAACAAATCACAGGTAGATTTCAAACCAAATACATTTTTCTCTAACTTAACAAATGTCTCATATAAATGTAAAAGACTCAAATAGATTAAGAATTGTTGATATAAATATAAATAACTAAAACCCCTCTCTTCAGTAAATTTTTAAAACATATTTTTTTGTTATCCATTCAACCAAGCTCCTAAAAGAACGGTAAATTATTGTAGAGAAAATTGTTTATCATTTATGCGTCAGGGCTGCACGGTGGCGCAGTTGGTAGCACTGTTGCCTTACAGCCATAAGGTCCTGGGTTCAACTCCCAGCAGGGGTCTTTCTGCATGGAGTTTGCACGTTCTCCCTGTGCATGTGTGGTATTCTGACTTCCTTCCACAGTCCAAAAACATGACTGTTAGGTTAATTCATCTCTCTAAATTGCCCTTAGTGATGTGAGCTGAATCGCAGACTGGATGTGATCCTTACACAGGATTGCAGGCAGGTTGCGGTTCCTGGACTCAGGGGTGAAATGGGATAAATCTTGGAGGAAGTTGTTCGCTTGGATCTGGTGGAAAGGACCTGGAATTTGGCTGTTTGGATTCGCCATTGAGAAGCACCAGTGAGCTGACGGAAAATTAAGAGTCAGCCTAACCCAAATAATTGTTGTTTTTCTGAATCTGGCTCCCCTGCACGGCCTTGATGGCTGGCTATCTTCAACTTTTCCTGGAAGTTAAGTAAAAATGAGGCTCTGCTCCCTCTGCCCCCTCCCTTCCCTGAGGACATCTGTGGACCTGCTCAGAACTGTGTGGCCGGTTGATTTACATTCCATCGTATCATCAAGGACAATGCCCTCTGTGACAGTCCTTCACGGACTTACTTTGCACTCACTCACATGCACACACACATGCTCAAGATAAACATATGTACCCCTTCACACCGCCTTCACCGGATCCCCTGCATGATGTTGTTTCGTATATATGTTGCTTCTTTGTGCTGATTTTTTTTTTGCAATATTAAACTATCTTTTTTTTTTATTTTTTTTTTTGAAGTTTTTCATTCAAAGCAACTGCGGTGTGGGCCTCGCCTGACCACTACTTTGTTCCAGTTTTATTACTGGAGTTTTTCCACTGAGTTCCTGCCTCAGAGTTTTATGACTCTTAGATTTGGGGCAGTCAGCTGCTAGACCATTTTAACAGCTGATCGCTGCAATCAGGACATCAGCACACCAGGAGGGCTTCTCTTTCCATTAAACCCAATTTACACATTTTGTCCATAAAACTGCTGGTTTGATCTTCATAGACACTCAATGCGCAAATATTATTCTTTTATTACTATTGTTAGGTAGTAATTTTTATCCCTTTTGTGCAGAATAGTGCTTGTTAGTTAGGTGAAGGTTTTTGGACCAGAATAATGGTATATCAGGATTATTTGTCTTAAATAAATCTTCATATATATAATTAAGAGAAGCGTTTGTGTCTATTTCGTGCAAGAGTGATTTATCTGTCAAAACAAGGTCGAAGTTCCTCCACCTTCGGTGTGGCGGTTGAATAAACAGTGACATTTTGTGGTTTTGGTTAATAATTTATCAATTATTAATAATGAATAGCTAATTGTAATTATTAAAGAGCTTTGAGCCGATAATCACAACACCAGAGGACATCTCTAATTTCTATTCATAAGTAGTGATTTTTGGTTAAGAAATAAAAAATGTCCAAATTATGATTTTAAATTATAATTCTTGATAAATATTAATTAATCAATAATCATAATCCTTACAATCTGAAGATGCAATACTGAGTCTGTAGAGCAGTTAGGCTGTGTTGAGTATTCACAGTAATACATTCTCTTGATAGAAAGCAAAATCTGGAGTTGATCATAGCGTAGTAACATCTCAGATAAGAACATTGGATAATGTGTGGCATAGTTTAGAATTAAAATTATTTATTAGTGTATTTTTAAGGTAACTATTATATTTTGACACATTTTATTTAAAATATTATTTTTTGTAAATCCATGTACTATGTTTGTTTATGCTACTACATCATTGCCATTGGAAAATATTTTATCAGCTTCAATAGCATGTTAGCAAGTTAATGTTAGCTAGTTAACAGTTGGTTTTATTAGGCATTAACAGAAAGATTGAAGGTGTGCCATCAGAATGTTGGTCATTTTGAATAGAGTATTATGAACTGCAAAAAATAAACAATACAGATTATCTGCTACAAGATGGCTTGCTCCACCATTCTGCCATTTTAGTGCATATTTGTTCTTTAAAAAAAATCTTCCTGTTATTGAGTAAACCTTTATCCATTCACCTTTATTCCACACTACTTGTCTTATCTTTGTCTCTGGTCAAATGTAAAACCAGATGCATCATTTGAAATGTAGGATTCTGCTGGTCAAAAATGTATCTCCAGATCATTTTTAATTTTCAGTATATTGTTTTACAGTTCTTCAGAAAAAATAAGACAATACAGCAGAATGGGTCTAAATGTGGAGAAATGATACTCATTTTGTGGAACATCGAGTCTTGTCATATCTATGAAGTATGTCAGTTTTAATTCGCCCTTGTTTTGTATAGTCTGTTTATGTTGTAATGAGGGGTGTAGAATATACCGTGACTGAGGGACGGGTGGGAGATTTTATTGCTACTCTGGAAAGTATCTGAATGTCTCTTGATTTCTGCCACAAGTACACAGAGCTTTTCCATCTGGCTTAAATTGCAGAGGATGATGTCTGCCTGGCAGGTGAGTTTGATAGATGAGGCAGACAGGAAGTCAGACTGCAGTTCTAAAGAATGGAAAAACAAGTCAAAACAAGAAAACACAACAGTAAAGGACAAAACACTTTTCTGAAACGTGGACCTTTTTATTAGACGACTGGGGAGAAGGTTAATCTGGTAAGGCATCGAGAGAAAGAGAGAGAAGATATGCAGCGCAGTAATGAGAAGATGAGGAACAGCTGTGCCAGGTACGCTGCCAGGAAGAGGGAAGTAAGGCACCAGCAAACATACGACACATCAGGAAAATCGAAGGAGAGGAGACAAGAGAAGAGACAAGCCCAGTTGCCAGCTGGTATTCTGACATTTGTAATATGGAAACAAGAAGCAATCAGATGTCCATCTGTGGAGATCTGGCTACATGGTTATTGTAATCCTAAATTTGTGCCCCTCAAAACAACCAAAAATATGCTAAAAGAACTGGATCACAGACCAGCTGGCTTGGTCTGAAGAACCTTTTTCCTTGTGCAGCTGAGATGCTAAATTGAAGACCACATCATACCCAGTTGCACAAAAAAACAATATCCATGAACATGTTACTTTCAGTTACAACCTGTAGTGCTGTGATAAAAGTATTTCAGTTTTTGCTTTTTTGGCCCACATAAAATATTTAGACCATCAAACAAATTTCAGTATAAGACCTGAGAATCTAAGTAAATAAACAAAGCAATTTTCAAAGCAATTACATTTATTAAACTAAAAAAAGCATTTAAAAGCTTTGTGAAAAAGCAATCACCCACTTGTTAAATATTAAATTAACTGTGATTAACCATGTTTTTGATTCAATTTTGCCAGGCCTGATTCCTGCCTGGCCTGTAGAATCAATAAATCATTGAATCAGTCTTGGAAAACAGCAGAAGCTGAAGAAATTTGTAAGGAAAATAATATGTTTTCACATCACTGCGGCTAAGCATTGCTGCAGACTACGTGCACCCTTTCCTTTCATGGAAACAGTGCTGTGTGAGGACAGTGGCCTCTTTCAGCAGTGCCTAGCCACAAAGCAAAAATTGTTCAGAAATGGTTTGGGATGAACTACAATGACATGTTGCTAACATCCTGGTATCAGAAATAACAGCACACTTTCAGTGGAGTCTATGTCCAGACAGGTTGGACCTGCTTTGGCAGCAGAAGGAGGGCCAACTCACTATTTAGCAAGTAGTCATAATGTTATGTCTGGTAGGTGTATACTGGTAACAAAGAAATTATTCTGGTAAAACACAAATCCAGATGGAAAGAACTAGTACACTTAGAATCTGTGGAATTTGTGTTTTTGTTACATTGAAGGGTGTACTTCTGCCAAAAAACATGTATTTAAAATAATCACAAATGTAAATAATTGTTTTGCCACCTCTGATCCTTTACTTGTCCTGACTTGGAACAAACAGCTAGGATATTATCAAAGAGGCACAACTCAGCTAAATAAATAAGTAGGACAAATGTCTACTAAAATTACTACAATTTTACATTTTGCAAACATTGTTTCTTCCGAAGTCCATAAAATGGTTATAATACTGCAAGGCAGGATATTCTTACCTCCTGGTAAATTTTCAGAAACATTCTCTTGATCTTAGCTTACTGAGGTTTGACAGAAGTGTTTTTCTGTTTGTTTGTTTTTTTCCCAGATGGCTTATTTTCTGCCTGAATATCAGTTGAATTTCTTCCTAAACAGAGCAATGAAAAAATAGCATAGCTTTATATTGTGCAAACCTTCAAACCTTTTCTCCATGATATAATTGGTTTGCTGAGGATTCATTTCCGCATGGAATACTGTTTGAAAGTGGTAGATATACAGTGGGGCCATTTAATTTGTGTTTAAATGTCCCACAGACATAATCAGCACCTTTGATTCTTCTTTGCACCCTCAGAAGTGTGAAAATCACTTTTATGACTTGGAACTCTGTAACAGTTATTACTGCTTCATTAGTTTATGTTACAGTTCATCATAGTAATTATAGTGGACGGTCTTGTGGAAAAAGTGCCAGCTGCTCTCTGTGTTCGAAAGGGACACACTGTTGCATAGTGTGGGTTAAACATTAAATCTGTCTGGTTTGAAATTTCTCATTGTGCCTTTATCATTTTAAATTCTCTTGAAATCTTCTTTTTGTCGACACAGCCTCCTGACATAAATGTTTATCTAAGCTCGAAAGCTTTAGCTATAGCTTTGTTATTCAAACTGTTGGTCTGCCAGAGATGTAGCCTGGTTGCAACACAATTTGTGAATCCAATTCTTCTGCTTCTCTTCATGAATATGAGTGCACTCTTGTTGTGCTCACAGGGAATAAGACAGATAAAAGCTTTTAGCTGCTGGTAATCAGGTCATTGTGTGTCCTCAAAATGCTCTTTAGGGATTTAAGACAATTCCACAGCCAATCCCTTATATCTCCAAATTCAATTAAATGTTAAAAATTTTAATATGTATGCCACAGGCAATCAAGGGGCAAAGGTCAATCAAAAGTCAGGCATTGTAATTCTTTGGGGACCTGCTTGAAGCGGTGGAAGGTGGACACAGACTGATTTATGGAAGCTTCTTATACAGAGGGCAATACTGCCTGTTACAC